ACTGCATATTTGGAAGCTCATGTTAGGAAAATGGTATGTGAGTATGAGTTCTAGTGTTGTTACTGCAAGTAATGGAATCCTGGACAACCTTCAACCTCTTTGTATCTGCCTTTCCTCCTTTATAAAATGGAAGTGATATTACCAACTTCACAGAGCAGTTTGGGGCTGGGGTTTAAGGGCAGCTGGATGTGACAAACAAGATAATGAATAAGAAGTCTTTAGCTTAGTTCTTGGCATCTAGGAAAATTTAGGAAACAGACTGAGAAACCCTTATTTTTCAAGGTCCTATTTATTTATTTATCTTATGTGGTGTGGAAGATTGAACCCAGTGCCTTACAGATGCAAGGCAAGTGCTCTACCACTGAGCCACAACCTCAGCCCCAAATAGCACACTCTTTATGACTGGTACTGAGAAAATTTTTCAGTTGATCATCCATCTGTATTATTTTTGAATATTACTTAGCACTAGTTAGGAAACCATTTGGTATCATATCAAATAAGATTTGTTGAGTTTTTTTTTTTTTCTCTTCACTTGGAATGAATCTATCACTATCACTACCCCTCCTTTCAGATCTTGTATTTGGTGCATCTTATTTTAGATGTTAACAAAACCAATGCTTTATATTCTTAATATGTTGTTTGTTGTGCTGTTGGGTATTGTACTGTTATCCTGCATTTCTTATATTTGGCACTTGAAAAGTTTCTAATTTGGAGGGAGAGAACTGTTCTAATAATAAGTATTTGGACAGATATACAGTTTTGTAATTTTATTTATTTTATTTTTGTGGTATTGGAGATCGAACTCAGGTATTCTTTACCACTGAGCTACATTCCCAGTATTTTTTATTTTGAGATAGGGTCTCATTAAGTTACCCAGGCTAGTTTTGAATTTGTGATCCTCCTGATTCAGCCTTCTAAATGGCTGGGATTATAGGCATGCACTACTGCACATTTTAAAGAAATAAAGCATACTGTTGAGAGTAGAAAAGAAAACAAATATAAAACTTTATTTGGAAAGGTTCCTTTAGTTGAAAATTTAGACATCATTGTATAATTAATAACCACTTAAGGGTAGTTGAACCTACTTTACTTGGAAAAACTTTGCTTTTTAATACTACATAATTAACACCCATGGTGTCTGACATTTCCCTATGGACTTCATGATGTAATGAAATAGGATGTAGGTAGACCATATTCAAAGATTCCTGCCTAAAAAAAATGAAACTGAATTTAATTAAGCTTCTAGATTTACTTACGAGTGACAAGCAATGGGCGAAGAGAAAAGAAAAATGCAAATGACACTATTATGAAGCTATCATGGAACATTTTACAAACAAAGGAATGAAGAAACAAAGCAATAGCATGAAATAGAAAGTTCCAAATGTATGTGAACTTTGAATCCTGATTCTAATGAATCAACTATAAGAGACATCTTTGAGGCAATCAGAGAATTTCAGTATATACTAGGTGTTAGATGATGTTAAGGAATTACCTATTCTGTTAATTTTGTTAGGTGTAATAATGGTATGGTGTTTAAGTTGGAAGCAACCCATTATCAAAGATGGTTTAACTGAAGGATTTTATGTGAAATGGGATGATTCTGGGATTTGCTTTAAGGTGAATCTGGAAAATATGGTCTTATCTGGCAACTTTGTATCTAGAAGAAGAGAATGAATATTGATGGCAGCTAGCCATTTCTGTAACAACCAATAAAAATATATATAAATGTATGTAGGAATGTATATAAAACAAGGAAACAAATAATACATATTTCCATGTTCTTTCTATCTTACTGAATGTCACCAACATCAGACATTGTTATGGTTTGGATTTGAGATATTCTTCAAAAAGCCCATGAGGCAGTGTAGGAATATTCAGAGGTGAGAAATTAAATTATGAGAACTGTGACCTAATCAAATGGATTAATCCATTTGATGGGTTAATAGTTGAATGGATTACTGGATAGGAACTATAAGCAGGTGGGGTGTGGCTAGAATAAGTAGGTCACTGGAGGCATCTTTTTCTCTGCTTTCTGGCTGCCATGAGCAGACAACTTTCCTCTATCACACCTCCTGCCATGATATTTGGGCTTACCTCAGGCCCAGAGCAGTGGAGTCAGCCAACCATGGACTGAACCACTGAAACTGTGAGCTCAAAATATACTTTTCCTCCTCTTAAGTTGTTCTTGTCAGGTATTTTAGTTACAGCGATGAAAAGCTGACTGACACAGACATTTAGTTATTTTATTTTTTGTGGTGTTGGAACAAACCCAGGGCTTTATGCATGTTAGGCAAGTATTCTCCAGCCCTAGACATTTAGTCTTAAAAAGGAGTAGAATTTTCCTTTAATATAGGGTACTTGCAGGAGAGTTGGAGGCTGCTAAAAGGTTGTGTATGTAAAAGCCTTGTTTGGGGAAGATTTGGGGAAATGATAGAAAATGTAACATTTGGAGCTGGGCGCCATGGTGCATGCCTATAATCTCCTTGGCTCAGGAGGCTGAGGTAGGAGGATTGCAAGTTCAAAGCCAGCCTCAGCAACTTAGCAAGGCTCTCAGCAACTTAGGGAAAGACTGTCTCAACATAAAAAATAAAAAGGGCTGGGATGTGGCTCAGTGGTTAAGTTCCTATGGGTTCAGTCCTTGGTACCAAAAAAAAAAAAAAAAAATGCTTTGGGACACCTGTAGTCCCAGCTACTCAGGAGGCTGAGGAAGGAGAAGCACTTTAGCCCAGGAGTTCAAGGCCAGCCAGGCAATATAGCAAGACCTTATCCCAAAAAACAGAACAACAACAAAAATCCAGCTTTAATGTGTTTGCTTTTTGTCAGCAAAACTATTGAAGATTTCCATTTTGATAAGTGAATAAAAGAAAGAACCTTTAAAATTTTGATTATATCTCAGTTAATCTCAGTTATTTTGCCTCTAGATTAACTAGGCATCTCTGGAGGAGGAATATATCATATTTTTCTTTTTTATATATTTATTTTTTAATTGTAATTGAACACAATATCTCTATTTTATTTATTTATATGGTGCTGAGGATCGAACCCAGCATATGCGAGGTTGTGCTCTACCGCTGAGCTACAACCCCAACCTCTCATATTTTTGTTTAAATCAAGCCATATTAGGATACTTAATCATGGTGGTATGAAGATGAAATGTGCTTGAATTATCTAAGGCCACAATCATTTTGCCTCCTTCAGTCTTCAGTGAAATTGTTCCTATTAACTAAGAATTCTAACTGAATTTAGTATTTCTTCATATATTTGCTTTAGGAGGCAAACTCTGATAGAAAAGTATTATGTCTTTTAATTTCAAATATTTATTTTTTCTTGTCATTCAGAAGCACAAATGGATTTCTCTTTAATTTTTAAGTTGTTGAATGCTGTTAGCTTTTTGCCACTGTGACCAAAACACCTGATATAAGCAACTCAAAGGAGGAAAGATTTATTTTGGCTCATGGTTTCAGAGGTTTTAGTCCATGATAAGCTGGCTCCATTACTTTAGACCTGAGGCAAGACAATATCATGGTGGAAGGTCAATGAAGGAGAAAAACTGCTCAGCTCTTGGCAGCTGGGAAGCAGAGAGAGAGAGAAAGTACCTGATATGGTCAGAGCCCTGTGATCCTAACAACTCCACCTCTGAACACTGCTGCATTGGGGATCAAGCCTTTGGGGGACATTCCATATCCAAAGCTATAGCAAATACTTTAGATCTTTCTTGTGATTTAAGCATTTTTCTATTTATAGGAATTATACAGAAATCTTGTGAGACGACTGCACAAACAGAGTGATGATTGTACAGCAAGTGGTATTAAATTCCCGACCTGGTAGGTATTTGTCTATAATGAATGAATAACTGCATTTTTTGATAATTGCTGATGTATATGAAGGAATAAAAACTAATATGATATTAATTTGGTGAACTAAGGTAGTAAAATATTAAGATAATATAACAGAAGAAACTCTTTAAACAATGTAGTACTTTTTCAAATGATAACTTATCAAGACCATTGTTGATGAGATAAGGTATTTTTTGTATCATAACATTTAAAAGCCACATATTACAAATAAGTGTGTTTTCTTGGTGGGGGAGGGTTCCAGGGATTGTACCCAGGGGCACTTAACCACTGAACCACATCCCTAGCCCTTTTTATATTTTATTTTGAGACGGGGCCTCGCTGAATTGCTAAGGCTGGCCTTGAATTTGTGATCCTCCTGCATCTCCCAAATTGCCGGGGTTACAGGTATATGCCACCAGGCCTGGAGGTATCATTGATTTTTTTTTTTTTAAAGAGAGAGAGAGAGAAGAGGAGAGGAGAGGGAGAGAGAGAGGGAGAGAGAGAGAATTTTTAAATATTTATTTTTTAGTTATTGGTGGAAACTACATCTTTGTATGTGGTGCTGAGGATTGAACCCGGGCCGTTCGCATGCCAGGTGAGCGCGCTACCGCTTGAGCCACATCCCCAGCCCCAAGTATCAATGATTCTTAAAATTTGATTTTCTGTTTTATGTTAAATGTACTGACTTATGTTAGAGTTGACATCTAACTGAATCATAGAAACTTAGGTATGTAAGTAACCTGAAAAGTTTGGGCCCGCTGTTATCTTCATTTTACTGTTTACTGTGACCTGAGGAAGTCATGTAACTTTTCTGACTTCAGTTTTAGAAAAGTGGGCAGTTAGAATAAGATCCTTACATTCTAAAACCCAGTACTGGGGAGACTGGCTAGGAAAATCACAAGTTCAAGTCCACCTAGGCAAATTGGTAAGACCCTATCTCAAAATAAACAGGGCTGAGGCTATAGCTCAGTGGTAGATCACACATAGATTCGATCCCTAGTACTAGTGGGGAAAAAAGATCTCTACGTTCTATTCCCACCTTAGAAATTTGATGATTCTTGAAAAGGCAGATTACTTATGTTAAAGTTATCAAATCTGAGTAAACTTTTAGTGATGACATTTTCTGCTTACAGACTTTTTTCATGCCTCAACATTTCTAACTTGTTGATTTTTAAAACTTTTTTTAAATTTTATTTTTTTAGTTGTAGTTGGACACAATACCTTTATTCCATTCATTTATTTTTATGTGGTGCTGATGATCGAACCCAGGGCCCCCGCGCATGCTAGGTGAGTGCTCTACCACTGAGCCACAATCCCAGCCTGAAACTTTTTTTAAAAAATATTTATTTTTTAGTTGTAGTTGGATAGTTAGAATTTCTCTCTCTCTCTCTCTATATATATATTTAGAAAGATTCTGTTTGCTTCTTAAAATGAGGAAGCAAAACTCACCTAACTTTTCACTTCGCTGGAAGTGTTTCTACTAGTTTGTAAATTTTTATTTTCGTAATTAAAAAGACAGCTGAAGGTGATTTTATGTTTTTTGAAATCCTAAAATTAAAACAGGTGAGATGATTTACCTATAATCATTAAAGGGCTGGAGTTATGGCTCAGTGGTAGAGTGCTTGCTTTGCATGTGTGAGGCACTGGGTTTGATCCTCAGCACCACATAAAAATAAAATAAATGAAATAAAGGTATTGTGTCCAATTACAACTAAAAATAAATATTAAAAAAGAAAGAAAGATGTTCATCTACAACTAAAAAAATTTTTAAAAAATTAGAAGCTGACAGCAATCTTTGAAAAGAACTTCTTGGAGAACATCAAGAGTGATGAAAACTGCTTGAGACTATGCTGAGTCATTGTTATAATTTCAGAGAAGTTACAAGACAATATAGATTTATTCATGCCTGTTTTAAAAGGGAGTGCCCTGAATCCCAGGTGATCTTTTAAAAAATAGTAACTGTATATAGGGAAGTGACTCTTTGACTAAATTTTTGCCTGATATTTTAGGAAAAAATGGTAATCCAGTGGCAGAGAATTTCCGATTGGAAGAAGTCAGTATACCAGATACTATTAATGAAGGACAAGTACAAGTTAGAACTCTTTATCTTTCTGTGGATCCTTACATGGTAAGAACCAAGAAGTGTGATTTGGTGAAAAATAATTTTATTTTCATATTGTTGCATTAGAATTTTATTGTGCTATCCTTATGACTAATAAATACTTGGGCAGTTGTGTCTTGACACTTATGAATTATAGATTAACTTATTCATTGCATTTATTAAGGAATATTTTGAAGGAATGTATTCATAATAGCAGTATATGTGGTTAGTGAGTTTCTTCCAAATGTCTATATCACTCCTAGTAGTAAGTAAAGCTTGAATAATAAAGTAGGGTTGGAACTTCCCTCAAAGGATCTGGTTTATAAGGCAGACTGTATGTGAGACCTTGATTCTAGTTGATCTCTTTTTGAAAGGGGTAGACTCATTCATGCTACCTTTAGATTAGGGAGAATTCTTGAAAAGATTGCTGAGGGAGGCAATTAAGAAAACCATCAGGCACAAGGTCTTAAGCTTTAAGTCCTGGCTTCTTTCTTTGTTTGTCTCATAGTCGTCTTTACTCCTAACTTCATCTCATAGCCATGACATGTATATCTCCATCAGTTTATCTCCTTCTATCAAGTCTCAGTGCTTAGAATCAGATTGCTGAGATTGGGAAATTGGCCAATTTATCTGTTATATTATCTATTTATAGGTTAATGACCCACTGTACTAGCTTCCTATTGCTACTATAGCACGTTACTATAAACTTAGTAGCTCTAAATAACACAAATACATTATTTTATAGTTATGGAGATTTGAGATTCAAAATGGGCCCCACAGGGCTCAAATCAAGGTTTTGGCAGGGCTGCATTTGTTCTAAAGGCTCTAGAAAAAAAAATTTTTTTTCTTCCTATTGTGGCCTCTAGAGGCTGCCCATGTTCCTTCCATGGGCCTTGTATTATACTGGTTTACCTTTGCATCAATGGTCACATCTCTGACTTTTCTCTCTCTTATCAGGACCCTTGTGATTTCATTGAGCATACTGGGATAATCCAGGATAATTTTGCCCATCTCAAGTCTCTTTTGCCATATTGACAGGTTCCAGAGGTTAGGACATGAACATCTTTGGGGGTCATTATTCTTCCTACCAGCAATCTATGGGTTGGCTATCCAGGAGTCACATATCCCTGCTAAATCCATTTATCTTTGGTTGTAGGGAGAGTTAGGCAATGGCTGCCCCTTGGTGGCAGAGCAGTGGCCATGAGAAAGTACAGAGAAGCTCTCACCAAATTACAAGGTTCATAACAGAATTGCCTATCTCTGAACAATGGAAAGAGTTCATTTTACATAGGGATTAGGTTCTATAGCAGGATTATGAGTCAAAACCTGTAGTCAGTCAAAATACTCTTAGAAAATCCTTTAAATTGGTATTAAATTATTAGGATCTAGCTCATTGGAAACTCAAAAATTTAGAATCATTCTATCTACCCAAATAATATGATTTTCTGAAACTTTCCTTCCCTAAGCTTCAGTTGCCCTTTGTATTAGGTTGTTCCTGTTCCTCACCTTTTATTTTGTTTATTCATTTATCAGTTGAGGAACATATGGATAGTTTCCACAGTTTGGCTATTATGAATAATTTTGGGGTGAACTTTTGTGTGGATCATGTTTTATTTCTCTTTCATATATACCTAGAATAAGAATTGCTAAGTCACATATTGACTGTGTTTAACCTTTTTTCCCCATCAGTACTGGTCATCGGACCCAGGGGCACTCTACCGTGAGGTACATTCCCAGCCCTATTGTTTGAGACAGGGTCTTGGAAGTTGCAGAGGCTGGCTTAAGCTCTTCCTGCCTCAGCTTCCTGAGTTGCTGGAATAATAGGTGTGCACTACCATGCCCAGTTTTTATTTTTTATATGGAGATGGGGTATTGCTAAGTTGCCTAAGCTGACCTTGAACTTCCTGAGGTTGGTCTCAAACTTGTCATGCTCTGTATCAGCCTCCTGAGTTGCTGGAATTAGAGGCATTTGCCATTGTGCCTGGCTTTGTTTAACCTTTTCAGGAAGTACCAGATTCTTTTCCAAGATGGTTACAACATTTTACAGTTCTACAAGAAGTAAATAAGGGATCTAGTTTCTCTACACCTTCACTAATACATATATATATTTTTTATTGTAGCCATTCTAGTTAGTGTGAAGTGGTATCTCATTGTGGTTTCATTCTGCATTTTCTTTTTTTTTTTTTTTTGAGAGAGAGAGAATGAATTTTAATACTTATTTATTTTTTAGTTTTTCGGTGGACACAACATCTTTGTTTGTATGTGGTGCTGAGGATTGAACCTGGGCTGCACGCATGCCAGGCGAGTGCGCTACCGCTTGAGCTACATCCTCAGCCCCTCATTCTGCATTTTCTTGATGGCTAATTTTTAGCATGTTGTTGTGTGCTTAGTGGCCATTTGTATATTTGTTGAAGAGGTATGTATTCAGATCTCTTACATATTTTAAAATTGGATTATCTGTCTTTTATTATTGAGTTACAAGAGTTCTTTTTTTTAAAGAGAGAGAATTTCAATATTTATTTTTCATTTTTTCGGCAGACACAACATCTTTGTTGGTATGTGGTGCTGAGGATCGAACCCGGGCTGCACGCATGCCAGGCGAGCATGCTACCGCTTGAGCCATATCCCCAGCCCCATAAGAGTTCTTTTTATATTCCAGAAATAAGCCCATTACCCAATATGTGATCTGTAAAATATTTTCTCTCATTCTGTGGATTGTCTTTCCTTTCCCCACTTTTCTTATGGTACTGGAGTTTAAATTTAGGACCATGCACATGCTAGACAAGACTTCTACAACTCAACTGTTCCCTAGCCTTTTTTTACTTATTTTATTTTGAGGCAGGGTCTTGATAAATTGCTCAAACTTATGATCTTCCTGCTTCAGCCTTATGAGTAGCTGGGGTTACAGGCGTTTGCTACATGCTGGCTTATCTTTTCACTTTTAATGGTATCCATTAAAATATAGAATTTTTTGTTTTTGATAAAGACTGGTTTACCTGTGCTTTTTTTCTTTATCACATACTTTCAGACTCATCTGAGAAGGCTTTGTCTCACTGAGGGTTAAAAAGAAAGATTTAGCTCCAATTTTTTTTCTAGGATTTTTATAGTTTTAGTTCTCACATTTTAATAAATGACCCATTTTGAGTTAATCTTTTTATATGGTATAAGGAAGAGATTTGTTTTAGTTAAGGTTTTTCATAGAGTCAACAGAGGAGAGATACAGATGTAGATACACAGATTTATGAGAAAGGATTGGCTCACATGATTTGGGGGAATAAAAAGTTCCATAATAGGCATTCTGCAAGCTGAAAAACCAGAAAAGTCTATAGTATGGCTCAGTCCCAGAGTCCCAGGGATGCAAATCCCAGTCTTCAAATACCAAAAAAAAAAAAAAAAACCATGGATTCCTGAAGTCTAAGGACAGAAGAAGTAGGGCATCTTGCTCCAGAAGAGTAAGAGCAAGAATTCACCCTTCTCCCTTTTTGTTCTGTCAGCTCCGCCATCACTGTCCAAGCTCCCCACCTAACCAAGGGCAGATCTTACCTCCTCAGTTCATCAACTCACATCAATCTCCTCTGAAAACACACTCACTGTAGCTGGGCATGGTGGTGCACTCCTGTAATCCCAGTGGCTGAGAGGCTGAGTCAGGAGGATTGCAAGTTCAAAGCCAGCCTCAGCAACTAGGCGAGGTGCTAAGCAACTCAGTGAGACTCTGTCTGTAAATAAAATACAAAATAGGACTGGGGAT